GGAAAATTGCTAACCACGATCCTAAACCAGCTACTTTAGCTGACTTGCAGCGCCTCCTAGTGACAAGTTGGGGTGAGATCACGGATGATTACATTAATAACCTTATCGACAGCATGCCACATCACCTTGTGGAAGTTATTAGAGTACGAAGAGGACTAACCAAGTAATGAATGTTCAATATGAACTTATATAAGGCTAGAGACGCTCTTTATAATAATGTGAAGTTATATTTTGTCATTATATATGTTTTGGTAAGGTTTTGTTGTGATAGATGAAATGATGAATTACACATGTTTCTACAGGTGTCTGGGAAAATTGTTTATTGTTCTAATAAATCGTTCATGATGTCCATAGAACCTGTTTTATTATACAAATTACATACGTAAATGTTTAATATAACATGCATTTTTCAGTTTGACAGCGCCGAGTGTATTTGTATTCCATCCTAATAATAATTATGTTATTTGCTACAAAGTATGCAAACATTTTGGCCAAGACTGTATAATGCACTCTGAAGGCAGCGCGTTGTAACTGATGCTATACAGGGGTGTCTATTTTATTGAAGGGGACCATCTTAGATAACTTTTTCGTAACGGGTTATCTCTGAAATAAATAACCAGGCCTTCTGAGTTTCTGAGCTAAGCCTTAAGGAAATAGAGAGTGAGTGTCACAGATATAGAACTATCAGAACTATCTTTGTCTTCATTTTGTTTAGACATGAAAAAAAATTGCCTTGATCTTCATTTTTGTTGAAGTATATACTCTATCAAACAGCTGGCCACTCTTTTATTCAGAGACAAAATACAGCTTTGTTTAATGTGAGAGAAAGCTGATTTTGTTACCCGTAATAACTGAGTGTTTCCTAGTCGATTTTTCAGTTATTTTTGCAAAATTTTCCTTTTGAATCTATACTTATTGTGGTTTCTGTGGGTTATGTATAGATTCCAGTTTTATCTGTGTCAATATAATGTGTACAGAAGTGAAATTTTGTGTACTTTAGTGTACATAAAAGTGGGTTATTATTTACTTTAATATAGTTTTATTTCCAAATAAAAAGAATCGACTTATTGTTGAATTATACGCATTTCAATAACACTGCATTCAAAACATGATAATAAATTATATATTTCCCATTTCTAGAAGAATATTTGAACTTGCTATATTTCTCCACAGGATATTACAGAAGAAAAGTTAGTGACGTGGTTCTCAGATCTGCGAATCAAACGACGAAGGTATGTATGTACTCGTGGTGTACGTACTGTTGTACGCTATATTTGTAATGTTTTAAGTTAAATGTTAGCTAGAGGGTGCATGAAGTTAGGACGAAAATCTTCTAAAAGTAAGCCTAGAATACACAGAAAGTTCTAAGTTTGGCGTCACAAAAATCTAGTAACATCGAGGAATAATAAAAGTAAGCCTAGAATACATACAAAGTCCTAAATTTGGCGTTACAAAATATATTAACTTCGAGGGATATCTAGAAATGAAAGATCAGATACAGATACATGTGGACCAGTCAATTAACTAAACTAGTAGTGAATTAACCTGTTTTGTTTCCTGTTTGTAAAGCACCAGTTTCAGTGAAGTACTTGGATCAGTGTTAGTTATCAGGTATATTCATTTACTCAATAAATCAGCTGTGAAACTGGGAAATTATATTTATTTTTACGTTAGTCGTAGTACATTTAGCATGGCATTTCCGTTTGAACGCCTTTTTAAACGTAAACCTACAAGTTACAACAGTGCGTAACTTTCCACTTCAAATATATTATTTTTATGCAAGAGGATCCCTGAAAATATAGAAAAGAAAAATATACAGGAGTATAGGAGTATACATAAAGAGTTCAACTCGATATTTTATGAAATGTTTAACCATTACTCACTAGGTATAACTAATGTATGTAGGTTTTTGTTTGTGTTTATTTCCATTTAAAGACTTCACCTAAAACACTTGAACAGATGAATAGTATTTGGAGCATGTTAAAATAATACTTTAATTAAATCTTAAATAAGGTATCTAAACTAGGAGAATCTACAAACTTGAATAGACATGTGTGTGAACATATACAAGGTCAGTATTATGTGCGTCGATCTGTGACGTAGTAAATATGTAGAACTTCACCTCGAGAATCGTAAAGACCTATTTTTATTTCACGTAGTGGTATAAGTGTTTTCGAAATGCTGTAAAAACCAACATATAAGGTAATAGTTAATCATATGAATCTGTAGTTGCCTACCCCTCTCCTACCCACCTCCACAAAAGTCCAACACATGACTTAGTATTCATTTTGATAAGAAACAAAAATTCCATATATGCTATATTTATATAGATAGGTAGGAATCGGGAAATTTGTTAAACGTATACATTCAAATTATTTAACATAACAAATAGTTTTGTAGTACTTATCATTATGCTTAGGAGGATCAGAATCACTCGTTTTTTCCTTAAGTAAATTTGCTCTATCATTTATAGTATTACTAAACATATGCTCGTGATGTAAATACCTCGATGACCTTTTGACATAGATATAAACTTGTATGTACGTACAACTTGTTGTTCATAGTAGTCAGACTGTAGAATGAACCACTCTATTTACTTATTTGAGATCCAGTAGTCAAGATGAATTACTTGAATGCAGAGTTGTATAAAGAAATTTCCAGCAAAATAATACAATTAAATATCATGACAAAAGCGCTTTATTTCTACACGTATGGAAGAAAGGAAAGTTAAGTAATGCATCAGGTGATAAGAACAGTGATTATTTTAACTGTTTTTATGGTATAAGATTTCCTAAACGTTAATACGGAAACACTTTAACTTGCTTATTTTGTTAGTTGTCTTGGTTCCAGCTTTCACTGGGCGTGGTTCACCAACAGTGATATTTGAATTGTATAGTAAAATCTGTGTTTCTAGCTCACTCTTAGAAAATGTATATTTGAAAACCAGTAATTTGTGAAACTAACGGTGATTCGTAAACTAGACACTAGTATCTTTTTCTCTAAAATAGAGTCATCGTCCATCGTATTTTCCCATTATTCAATAATAGCGCTACAAGTAACTAATGGATGAAATATAGGTGTGTCTTGAAACTCCGAAAATACGAAGCAAAAATATAAAAAAATGGATCCGAGGTTCTTGCCATCTGTCACGATTATTTCCTCTGTTTTTACAGTTTTTATGATAGATTGTCACGGCGTTCAACAAAACATTGTAATGTTAACAGAAACTTTCGAGTTGTGCAACTCAGATATAGAGAAAAATTATTTCAGTGGAACTTTTTGGGGGTAGAATATACAGATTCTATTACAGATAGCAATCCGCAAAATGCTCCCCCCCCCCCCCCCCGTGGTACAGCGGCATGTCTGCGGACTTGAAACCTAGAATCCGGGTTTCAATATCCGTGGTGGGCAGAGCATTGATAGTCCATTGTGTAGCTGTGTGCTTAATTACAAACAAAACAAAGTCCGTAATATGTGCCTTTTCTGGTTATTGTAAATGTGTATAGCCTTAACTTAAAATTCTGAGCTTCTTAACCAATGTGATTCCTAAATTTGAAATGTATCATCTACTGGATTATTGTTATACTTGAGTGATGATTCTTATGACAAAACAATGGGCTAACTCTGTTTTTAGTTAATTAATAATTATATTAATTATACAATATATATTATAATATAATACAATATTATACAATAATTACTAAAAATGAATAAGCTTAAAATCATAAAAGGAGCAGATAAACCTAATTCCACTGGATCAATGTTACTTTTGGATGAGGCAACCATCAGACTTATGAATTATTCAGTAATAAATGATGCAATTGTGAACTATATTAGAGACATTACATTGTTAATATAGACGAGTTCACATGTTTTACTGTAACAGAACTATTACTGGGTTTTACAGAAAAAGTCAAACAGTTGTATATACTTCGCGTCCCCTGGTGGGACAGTGATAAGTCTTCGGATTTATAACGCTAGAATCAGGGGTTCGATTCCCATCGGTGGAGACAGCAGATAGCCCGATGTGGCTTTGCTATAATAAAACACACACACACATATACTTCGCGTTAAACTACAATGTAGAAGATAAAAGTATAAACGATATGATTTTTATTTTTAAATTTTGATGTTTCTGCCAGAAAATAATTTGTAAGAAAAAAAACAAAACAAAAAATTCGTTGGCTAACTTGAAAAACTTGCAATTTGTAAGTGTGATTAAAGTGATTAAAAAACACTGTTGTTTCTGTAAACTGTGTTCTTTATTTGTTGACAGTCAACTCTATGAAATTGCCCCCCTCCCCCCAATGGCTCTGCAGGATTACAACGCAAAAAAATCGGGTTTCGATACCCGTGGTGGAGAGAGCAGATAGCCTATTGTGTAACTTTGCGCTTAACTACAACCAAAACCGAGCACTAATACAATGACAACTACACTTTAAAAATATATATATTTTTGGAAATATGTTTTCCGTTTAAGTTCGGGTTTCCCATATAATCTAATTATTAGTAAATATTATAGTATGCGTATATTTATTTTAGATATACGAATAGTATACAGATATATATATCCAGTAGTAACACATATAAATGACTCAATAAAGCGAAAATTTTATTTTCACTTAATGCCTTTTACGTCTTCTTATGCTTAAGAAAATACGAGGACTGTTACATGTACATTGATATATTTCTAATTTTTCGTATTTGCATAAAATATTCTTCATATACAGACTAATTAACTCTGTATCAGCACTTACAATTACCGACGAATGATTATAAGTTTCCAAATAGTGTTTGTCATAGACTTACGCCGCCCAATTTAAATCTTGGCGTACCGTTAAGATGCTCATACTAAGCTAAGTGCGCTAGTCTTGTTACTGGTACTGGTACAGCTCCTTGTTTAGTTTTTTCAAGTGACGTGTCATGTTTGTGTATGGGCGTACTGCCAGCAAATTACTTCACTAATCACTACCAGGTCTACCATCTTTCGTTTGTGTTTAAACTAAGAGTTTAATTCTGTATTTGAAGCATGTGTGTGGTGTATTCCACAAAATTCTTAATAGTTGCACATATCCTTCACTTGGCTTCTAGTCTACGCCCTTTCTTCAGGTGAGCAAGCTGGCTTACCTGTACTGTAAAATAGGCCACGTCTTGCCTAGGGCTCTTAACCACAGCCAACGAGAGTTGTCCTTCCGTTGGTTGAGTAAGGCCTTGGCAAGTACCGGATTTATATGAAAGAAGCAAGTCAGGCCCGTGTAGGTGGATGATATGAGAGATAGTTGAGACTCTCCCATACATGATACAGTGATAGTGCATTCTTGGAATGATCATCTTAACCCTTGTATCTGTTTTCTTTCCATGATTCAGAAATTTTGAACTCACTACAACAAGATACCCGATCAACGAGCGGATTGTAATCTGAATCCTTCAGTAAAACGACTTATAATTTTGAGAAGCGGGAGTTTGTTCATGTAGCTTCAAAGTTTAAGTTAAGTCGGACCGCTGTCAGCGACAAATCTGTGTTCTCTAGTGTTGATTTAGACATACGTTTGAGTTTCAGTTTTATTCGAAGCATAATTACTAATGGCAATGTTCGTCATTTTAGAACGTCCTGAAGTGTAATTTTGTGAGATACCACATATAATCTTACAGACAGTTGGTCACTGGCCCTGTTGCACGCATAATATTCTTGTAATTTGTATAACAAATTTTGGGTAAATCTGTCGTATTTCATGAATTTATTAATCTGACAATAGTATGATTTGGGGAAGTGTGAACAACATATGTTTTGTTTTATGAACCGAGCGAAGCCAGGGCGGAAAGTACTTCAAAGTTTAACTCTGATCGTTTGAATGAGTTTAAGAAGTGTGTTGATCTTAGTTTAGTAGTTTCAACAGGAAGATCACTATGGCACTTTCAGTGGATGAAATCGAGTGGGGAACAATGAAGAAATACATACGACGGTCAGTAGTTCTTTAGTTAAATAGGCATTTAAGTTTTAAAATTTAACGCATAACTTGTAAGCTTAATCTGGGCCTTTTGTTTATTCCATTCAACTTTCAAGAAAGAATAGGGGTCACCTATTCACTAAAATTATTTTATTTGTATTATGTACAAGACTGGTTTCATATTCGGAAATTTTGTCACCTTGAAATTTAGTAATATTATTATAATAGTAATAATTAGGTTAAAATTTTGAAAGGATAGCATAGAATAAGTTATATATGTATATATATATAAATTTTAAGAAATAGTGTAGTAAGAACCTTCAAATCACGTCTTCACAAGTTACCCATCTGATGACAAAATATCTTCCTGCATCTATCCGAGGCCAGTTTTCGAAAACTACTTTCTGTTGACCTTTTCTGCTTTGACTTTGAGTTTTGTTTTACAATCGCCATCCTTGTGTATGACATGGGTTTTTAAGGCACTTCTGCTGACTTTTGAGAAACCCGTAGAAGAAGACACCACCCTTCGAAAACGTTTACGTAAATCTTGGTTTATGAAATTATGAAGAAATTTGAAAGCTACTTAGTTAATTTTAATTATGACCCTAATTAATTTTTTATTAAATTCATATACAATTATTTCGACTTACAATGTTTGTAAAACTTATTTTTACCATTTTATTCAACAGTATATATAACTTTTTGGTTTACCGGGGAAAGACCACGTTTTAAACTTATTATTATAATTGATTATATTATAAACATTAAAAAACAATCTGCGAATGCTGTATTACGCAATGTCAAATGTATACTTTATTACATTAAATATTTGATAAATTATTGTTTCTACAAATGGGTGATAATCGTTACGTTGTTTAAGTAACATATATATTTATGAATTATTAACTATTGATAATCCAGGAAAAATATATTTGTTTCAAAATTAAAATTGTTAATTTTTCCACTAAACGAAAGAGTAAACGTGTCCTGTAATAAAAAGCTTCATCTAACGGTCTTAACATAATTGTTTTGGAAATATCTCTGTTTTCCATTCCCCACACTGAGTCAACAGTAAGTTTACAGGCTTATAACTCAAAAATCCGGAGCTTGCTTCCCCTGGTGGACAGAAAGCAGACACCGAGAAAGCCTATTTCGTAGCTTTGCGCTAAAATAAACTGTTTAACATATGTTCCGCTTTTTAAAAAAATTAATAATTTTAGCACACATTAGAAGAATGGTAAAATTATAGGAATATAGGTTTTAGTTAAACGAACTCTTCCAGCTTTGATTAGTTCTTCGAGAGTAGGAGAAACTTCAAACTTCTGGATTAATTTATTTCATGGAGTATAATGAGAAAAGCATTAGAAACATACAAATATGCCAATATTCTGTATGCTTCTAATGTTTTCTTGCTCTTCAATGCGTAGTTTTGTTTGTTTGAAGTTATGCACAAAGCTACACAATGGACTATCCGTGCTCTGCCCACCACGGGTATCGAAACTGGGGGCCTCAATGGTAGTACTACTACTAGTGTTACGTATTAGAATTTCGAATGATCTGAAACCGAGCTAAATGGTTCTTTAAATTTAGTAGTTAAATTGCATTTTAGATTTATCAGTTAATTAAAAGCCGATATATAGTCAGTTTATGATATTTGCCAACAAGATTGATACACATAATTTTCTTTTTTTAACCCAAATACGTTTTAATATACATACACAACAATACAATTTACAATAACGGTTATTACAAATAGTTATTACAAATAATGACTTCTAAATAAAAGTTTCACAAACAAGCAATTTAAAGTCTTCTTTCTAGTCTGGAACTTCCTTGATATATTATCGATGGTTCACAATGAGCGAGTTAATTACGAGTTGATGTAGGTACAATTCGTTTCACGGAAAGCTAGCTAGCTTTGTCCTTCGTCATTCATCAGCCACACGCTGAGTTTTCCACCGTTGAAGTTAGGTAATGTTTTCGTAAATGTACTAATGTCCGATGAGAATCCATTGAAGTTAAATGATTCGTAATGTTCAAACATTGTAACTGCTCCTGGTCAAATAGCTTAAGTTTTCCGATTGATAAGCGTTGTAACAATCACAGTTATAACTTCCAAAGTTTATAGCACACTAGCTTTAGCAAACTATTAATAGATACTCGCCCTTTGGTGCGTCGCGTTAATTATACTTATAGGCATGTGGGGGTTTTCTATAAATTTCAGTTTTACGTAACAATATTGGCTCTGACACAAGCGTTTACGTACACACACATGTTGATTCTTACTCTCGAGAATCTTCTACAACTTTGGAGAATAGGCGGGAGTTTCGCAATACATATTTAACAGTATAAGACATGTATATTTCTAAATATAAATTTAATCCAAACAAACGTTGATATTAAAATAAATATATGATAACAAATTCGTTACACCAGTAAAATTAAATCCCAAACTAGTCTAACACTACTTCGCTAGACGATTACAGGGCAAATAATGCGAGTGTATTCTGGTGTAGTAGTTTCTTAATCCTAATAACTACTAAATATAGAAGTAAACTTTCTAAAGCAGTGCCTCTAAACTGGTGGGTCGCGAAAAGGCTTAAAATTAGATGACAGTATTTTATAAGTTATTTGATAGATTGTTTAGTACACCGGAAATTGGAATGGAAAAAAAAACACACAAGTTTCGAAATGTCCTCCCTACACTTGTTTATTTTTTCCAGAACAGGCAGTTGCCGCCCATTCCATTATATTCATCATTTAAAAAAAATTTGCAGAACAGCAGAAGTATAATGCAAACTACATAACACCTCGCAAAATGCTAACTATAAATTAATGTAACGCGCACGAGCCCAGCAGATCAACTGTGAAACAACACTGCCATGCGTCATACTTCTACAATTTTCTTGGTAGACCGCGGGAAATTTCTTGATGAGTGTACCGTGTTACTAAAGAAATTTAGAAACTATATATTAAAGTGTTATGTCTTTGTGCGGCTGAAACTTACAGTCTTGTTTTAATCCAGTTAATTTTCATCAATCCTCTGTTTCAAGAGAGAGAGAAAATATCTCGTATATATTTATTCTGTTAATCCTAACTTTCAGTTATCTTATAATAACTTGGCAAATACATGAAAAACTGGCACATGAAACGATTCAAAGATGTAAGATAACCTTTGGAAGGAATGTACTGAGAAACGTTTCTGCTATGAAAATCTGCGAGGCATAGCCCTAAATTACAACTAAAAACATTTTTTATTTCAATTAGCACTATCCACTCTGTCGGTCTGTCTCTTTGAAAAAATGATTTCAATACATTTCTAGTTAAATTACAGAACAATTTAATCTTATCCGAACTGAAGGAGCGTTTCATTTTAAAATCTGTTTATTGTATGATCAAATATTTTATTCTGATTTCTATTTCGTATAGTGTTTTACATTAATGTTCGATGTTGTTAATATATTTACAAATACTTTGGAAATGTGCAGTGGTCATAAGGTTATGAACTACACTTTATGGCTTGAGGTATTTTCATTTTTCAGTTGCTTGTGGTTTTTAACATAGCTTATCATCCATTGACATTAAGACTCGGACATTATAGAACCGTGGATATTTTTTATATAGATACCGTTCGTTATGTTCAATTGACTATAACGTTGATCACCACCACCATGGACATTAAGGCTCAGATATTATAGAGTTCTGATCTAAGTAAGCTAACTGTGATAAAATACGTTTTATTAAAATAATAGCCCGAAGTCAGACTTCACACTTAGAAATAAAATAATATATATTTATCATTTATTAATATTAAATTTAAAGCTATACTATTCAAGTAATGTAACTACGGTGCAGAAGCTTAATATTGTATTCTTCGTGTTTCTATACAATAAGCCGATGTCTTTGTCAACACGAGTAATGAATAACATTTACATGTGGGTAATATTAGACTTGAATTGTTTTCGTTAATACTAATAGTTTGTAAGAGAGAAAGTATCCATACCTATACTATAAACGTTATGTATGTGTAAGGACAGTACTAATAATTTGGCTAGAATAATTATTGTACCAGCACTCCATACCATTCTAACTGCTAGTCACGAACACCAGAAAACTTGTTTATTTCGAAAGAGAAAACTGGAATTCTCTAGTGCGAGACTGAAAGCAATAGTTACGTTACGGCCATGCAGTATCTCCGAATATCCCGTGGGAAGTCTTAGAAATCTTTTAATGTCAACAGCAATGCTGTTATTAATGCAGGCAGTCGTCTGATTAAATGCTATTCATGTATATTCTTCAAAAGGCTACGTTATCCGTGAGTTGGTTATTTAGTGATAGGGTGCGTTGTTGATGCCACGTCATGCAGTACTTTGTGTGTCACCTGAAACCTAACTGTAAACATTTAATTGAAGTCTGCAACCACCTTAAACAAGGTCACTGGAGCAGGAAGTTTTGTATCTGCTAACTCGTTAAGAGAACCGCCAGTGTAAGTCTACAATGGTGCACTATTACTTAAAGTCAGAAAAGTATCCGACTGCTCTGCGGGGATAAGACAAGTTGGATTGGTATGAAGACTGGCAATACAGCAACAGTATAAGGTAATAATAAAGAGTGCATTTCCTGTCACTGCAATAAGCTACAACAAATGTGTGGAAAAAAATAACGCAAACAAAATTTTACCCAAACCTGACCCCTTTTTGTTTTCTTGGAAGACAGGCCTACAAAATGTTTGCCCTAATTCGATCATAATCCGCTTCCAGCTTGGCTCATTAATCTTGACATGTATAGTCGTGTAGACTATATCGAATATAGTTACGTTTATTCTATCTTAATTTGTAGTTAATTATTAAACTTATATTATACATTTTGATTTACATTGTTCGTTTATAATTTGTATTTAGGAAGTAATTTATCTTATTAAGGATATGACTCTTACATCTAAACTGAGTAGCTATAGTTTTATTTATATGTGTAGCCATTGCCTATCTCTTGAAGGAAAAACAAAAAAAAAAAAA